TGTCTCATATACAGAGCCGGAAATAGCTCGATCTCGCTATTTCCACCGTGAAAACAGTTTGTTGACATGTGATTGTTCAGCTACACCAATTATGCATTCGTATTCATTTTCTGTCAACTACACTTCGAGGCGTGAGTAGGCGCAATATGATAGTGATTTCTGTGAATAATGCGGGTTGAAGTTATAAATATTGGGGGACACACGATTTCATTGCAGCTAATAGAAACATTTTGTTTTAAAAACATTTTGAGTAAATTACAATCTCGTTAACAGTGATCTGTTATGATATAAAAAGAAAACCAAAACAGGTTCCCACACTAGGGGTTAGTAAAACGTTTATTAGAACATACTTCCTTTTTACATCCAAGACAGAAACTGCCAGTTGTGTTGTAGTCTGACTTGGCCGTGATTAGGACCCCAACCGAAGTAACGGAGATCTTTATTCAATGGACGGTTATTTTAGTCAGCTAAGTCCGGATTACAAAGCATTGTTCTCATAGCAAGTTGATTGTTGGGACTGTTTTTCTAGTCCGTAATACGTAATTGAGAGAGTCCGGATTATAAAACACGCTTTAATGATCAATTAAGAACAATTTTGCCGGGACTCAGGGACTTGTCCGGATTATTGAGAAAACCGGATTACAGAGAGTCCGGATTTGACAGATTCAATTGTATAAACCATCACCTGTGTGTTTGTTATCATTCACTGGAAGCTCAGTCAACGAATTAATGAAACACATAATTACTGAGATTGCCTCCCAATTAAGGTTCCCATTTGGCATTTCTCGTGTCAGGGATGATTATGATGATGCTTATCCACATGCCCAAAGAGGTCCAGCCTATGAGCAAGCTGATGAAGCAAGGACGTCATCTGTGGGATGACTAAATGCCTACTCATGCATCAGTCACTGAGCCAGACGCGCCAATCCTGTGAGTCCCACCTTACCTGGGGTGATGGGGTAGCCTAGTGGTTAAAGTGTTCGCTCGTGATGCTGAAGACCCGGGTTTGATTCCCACATGGGTACAATGTGTGAAGCCCATGTCTGGTGTCCCCCGCCATGGTATTGCTGCTCAAAACCTCACTCACTCACCCCTCCTTACCACAAGCAGGAATATTGCTAAAAGCAACGTAATAACCTCACTCACATCAAATGATCCCTCCTTACCACAAGCAGAGATTGCAGTGGACCGGGTATTTTGTTACCTAGAATACCCATGGATAATGTAAATCAAAGACTCACCAACACAGACATCATTAGCAGCTTTAACATATCCTGCATCACAGTCACATTCAAATGATCCCAGTTTGTTCCGACACTTTCTGATTGGCTGCTGTGCACACGGGGGCGGAGCCTGCACATTCATCCACATCCGTCTCACACATGCTTCCTGTCCACTGTGGTCTGCATGTACAACCGCCAGTCACAGCATCACACGACTCGGTGTTGTCGAAGACACAGCTGCATTCGTGGACACAGTTATCTCCAAAGTGTCTGGCATCACATGCTGAAATTACAACATTTTCTGAGAATTCACATAATTATTTTCGCTTATACCAACAATGAAATACAAATTTACAGCTGCGAAATAAATGAAAGACTTTGTTCAATCAATCACAACTTTGATAAACACTAATGAATTAAATTATTAATAAAAACAATACAATATATCCAAAAATCAAACACTGCAAATGCACTATTACTACTTTACATAACTAGTATATGTGATATCAGGATATAAGTAGCACAGCAAAGTCATGATTCTCATTCTGGAATGACAATGATGAATTGCAAAACAAACATCATCAAGCACGGTCTCCATCCATCAACTTCACCAACCAAAAACAATAAAAATTTAAATCTCTGGGGCTGAGGATTTTGATAAATCTATCTGGGAGCGTTGAGTTTTGAGATTCTGTTTATCATCAAGATTTTTCTTCCAGCTCTTTGCCTTTGAATCAGTAACAATCGCTGAGTTGAGAGTACAATGTACAGGTAACAAGCTTCAGAGGTTGAGAGATTAATGATGTCATGTAATTGTGGTGTCATGGTAACTGATGATGTCACAATGGCCTGCAAAGCATTGTGATGCAATTTCATAACATTGTTATATCCTTAGTATCACAAAGGTGATAATTCTTGTGGAAGCCAGTTACATGAGTTTTGAGGTGTATCAGCGATAAAGACTTAGGGGGGAGATAACTCTCTTTCATGTGTGAAGCACATCACATGCATAAACCTCACATGTGACCTGGTGAATGCGCAAGAAAACAGTCAGCCATCTTAAACCTACACAGCTTGGCATAAAGTAACAAAACCTGAATAAATATATGAATCCATATACGACTAATGATAGGTGGATACATCACCTGTACTCACCACTACAAGAGTTATTAGTTCTGACATAACCAGGAAGACAGGTACAGGCGTAGGATCCATTCCTCTCATTACACACGCCGTTGGCGCTGCAGATGTTGGGGGTGTCGGTACATTCTGGTACGTCCTCCGTGCATGTCGCTCCCTTCCACCCATTCCTACATGTACAGCTGCCGTCGGTTGCGTTACAGCTGATGGTGTTGGCGGCGGCGTTGCAGCTGCAGTTGTGAGTACAGTTGGGGCCATACTTCCAGTATGAACATGCTGAGAACGATATGCGAAATACATACTTAATTTAATCATCAATAGCTGTCATGGCCACTTAGCCATTGCAATAGTATTTTGATAGTTCCTGATAGTTTTGTGACAGTTACTAGCACATGTGAAGTTGTGGTGGTCCGATTAATTGAAATAATCGAAGATTGGTCGTAGTGACTAAACGACCAAGCAATCGATCATAATTTCTCATAATCGAACACAAACAATTCTGGAACACTTGTTTTCATTAACAATATTTTTCACATGGTTGGTTTTGTCTGTTACATTTCGTACGCACTACGAGCTCGCTTCAAGTCATGATTGAATTTATCGTAAAGATTCCAAGAAATTTATGTTCCTAACATACTAGTTATCCTTTAAAGATGTGAAATTCTTCCCCCAAAACCCCCAAAGAACTGAATTTTGTCCCTTATTTTTATGTGCATGAACAAATTTCAATAATGACGCTGACCAATTATTTTCGATGATTGATCGCTAGTAATTAACCAATCATCAATTATAGATTTTAACCAATTCCCTACACTAATGTGAAGTTGTGTAGGTCAGGTTAGGGTTGGGTGTGGTCATGGCGCTGTCAGGGAAAGGGAATATTGTTTGGGATTTTGTTTGAGACACATCAGCACCTTCAAGTCAAACAATACTTTTGAAGTGATAGCCAAACATATCTTGGGACTCACAACACAATACCTTTTAGAACACTAGTATACAGTATATCAAGCAAACAATACTTAGGGGCATGAAACTTCAGGACAGTCTATTATCATTCCAGCAGTTTCAGGAACAGGTTACCCTACTAAATATAGCTCGGCAATGGAAGATCCATGGCTGTATTAAACATTAATATGTGTGATGCCTAACCCTAGGGTGTTGTGAGGCAGTTACTGGAGCACTGTAATACTGCAGTGTTAAGGAAACAAACAAACAAACTTCATACCTGCCACATTACTACCTAAACTGAATGGTAAAATATATCTTGATTTATGTCTGACAAAGCTATGTCTATCTAGTGTTATTCAGTGGCGAATCGGACAGAGGTGTGCGTGTGTGCGTGTGGGGGAGTGGGGTGTCAGGGGTTTGAACCTTCTTCCCCAACACACACACACACACACACACACACACCGACTATTAAAAGACCACTTAATGTTTTGCAATGGCGGAGCCAAGGTGTGGTTTGAAAATTTCTGGATCCGCCTATGTTATTCATGTCATCTACTGATTTTCAACAGCTCATGGATGTCCATGGACCAGAGTTATTTGTACCAGAGTTTTTTTGACCAGTCACACGATTCATTAAGTTTGTTTTATGAAGATACTATGTTTATTAGACTTTTACCATGACATGTAGTTTTGTCTGAGGCCAGGGAGAATCCTTCATCACAGGTACATGTGTAGGATCCCACAGACTCCACACAGCCTTGGGAACACCGAGGGGGAGATAACTCACACTCCTTGATGTCTGGAACAGAGAATCATGTGAGTGAGTGAGTGAGTGAGTGAGTTTGGTTTTATGCCGTTTTTAGCAATATTCCAGCAATATCACGGCAGGGCACACCAGAAATGGGCTTCACACATTGTACCCATGTGGGGAACCAAACCCGGGTCTTCGGTGTGATGAGCAAACGCTTTAACCACTAGGCTACCCCACCGCCCAGAGAATCATGTCATCTTCTTGCACATCCTCAACTGTCCAGCGTATGTTCCCATTCTGTTATGATAAATACCCACCTGAGTCTATTTTTATTCCATTATTTCAATTTTACTGAAATTCACCAGCTTCACAATATGAAATATTCTATACTATAATACACAGCAAATGATTCCATGACATTTGATTGGCTTACAAAGCAACATCAGGAGTGGAAATAACCCATTGCCCGACGCCCGAGTCCAGTGTTTTTTTCTGTCGGGCAAGCAAATTTGTATATCACACTGTACCGGTGTCCAGTTGACTTTCCAATGTTAATTATGTTGTTTATTAAAAAAATCAGCAAGAAAACGGTCGGTATAGTGGACAAATTATCAGGGCAAGTGACTTTACATGTGCAACTGTACCGGAGTACACTGTCAATTTTAAAGTTATTTCCACCCCTGAACATAGACCAAAACAATAAGCCATGTCTGATACAAAACTGCTGTTTAATATGATTTTGACTTAGCAGTGTATGAAATAAGCCCAAAACCCAGCCAGACATCTGGGCTGGTAACTTCAAACACTTACCAGCCCAGAAGAGATTTAACCAGTCCTTCTTAAATACTAAATAGACAGTGCCAGTCACTAGGACACGTTATCTGAACATTTTTTTCACCTGTCCATCGGGCTGGCTGTAAAATTAGACAGTCCAGCAGAAATCTAGCCCGTCTCGGGCAGTCGGACGGGCCTTATTTCATACACTGGACTAAGGAATCATAACGTAAAATCCCGTGAGTCCATTTGCATAAATCCACAACATGTATTGAAACAGTGTTGTAAAACTCCATTAATGCAAAAAATATAGTTCTTTCAAACCCCGAAGTTTATGATTGATTTGTTCCTAGTATTGGCCTACCATCACAAGTGGCTCCGTCTGTGTTGAGCAGATAGCCAGGACTACAGAAACAGACCTCCACACCATCACTGACTCGACACCCTTGAGAACATCTTGTTGTGTTGGAGCACTCGGTCATCTCTATAATAAACGTAAAGAGGCATGAACGTAGCACTTGTATATTTATTGCTTCACAAATGAGATGGACCTCAAGCTGCTTTTAACCTTATTCCCCTAGCACTGTAGGGAAATGAAGAACAAACATAAAATACCCTACCCTACCTTTCTTACCAGTTACATATACACTAACTTGCACAGCAGGAGACAGATAGCTAAAAGTTTGTTGTTTGTTGTTCAACGCCCCTTTAGTCCAGATATATGACTAAATAATCCAGTGATCAACATCATGAGCATCGATCTACACAACTGGGATATGATGACATGTGGCAACCAAGTCACCAATACTGACCACCTGATCCCATTTGTTGCCTGAGCTTACGACAAGCATGGGTTGCTGAAGACCAATTCTAACCCGGATCTTCACGGGTTTACATATTGTAATCATGACATGACATGAGACAGGCATTATCAGGCAATGCTTCTACCACTAGGCTATCCTAGCACCACTCACAGCACAAGCAAAAAAATATCACTTACTGTACAGTCAATCATCATCCTTGTTCTTGATATGTAACTTAATAGTCCTTTGAGAATATTTATCGAAAACATGACCATAAATGTACACTGTGTATTATAAAATGTAAAGTAATCTATATGTTTCAGTGATTCCATGGATTTTTATGACATAACAAATTCAAATGAAGCATGCATGTCTTCATCTAAAATAATCATTAAAAAAAGTTATGATTCTGCTGAGGAAGCACAGACCATTGGCAGCATATTGTAGCCCTCAAGTTTCTTAGCTTACTTACAGATCCAGGTAGAATGTATCCAGTATTTAATAATGACTACTTAAGAATATAAGGGAACTTACGTATACATGATTTTCCATCACTTCCATCTAGAGTGAATCCCTCAAAGCAGTCACAGATATATCCCCCATGTGTATTGGTACACTCCTGTGTACAGCCGCTAGTAGCAAGGTGACACTCGTCAAAGTCTGGAACAGTCCACTCAAGTACAGTAAAACCAGAAATTATTGAGAATGTAAAGATTGTAATTTTTTATATGTCTTTCACTCATTACTCACGTATTAAATGTGAATATTAGCAGAACATAACTCCAGATTCAAAGACAGGTGAACAGTTAGTATTTTGTCAAGTCACCATGGGCAGCAATGCAGGCTTCAATGCGGCAGGGCATACTACTGATCAAAGAAGTTAGAAAGTCATGGTCCATGCTGTCCCAAAATCGGACCACCTCTTCTTTCATTTCTGCAATATTTGTCAGATTTTTCTTATTGACACTTTCCTTCATAAGTCCCCAAACATTTTCTATTGGATTTAGGTCAGGGCTATAGCTTGGCCAATCTAATAATGTCATATTTTGGGTACGAAACCAGGCCTGTGAATGCTTTGAACGATGTTTTGGGTCGTTTCCATACATTTCCATAGAACACGTGAGCAGATGGAAGTAAATGTCCCTCGAGAATATCTGTGTACCGCTCACTGTTCATATTCCCTTCAAATACACAGAGGGGCGTTGCCCCTAACACAGATATGCCACCCCACACGTTAAATTTCGAACTGTACTTTGGGCGCTGATACAAAGGTTTTTCAGTTTGTTTGGTCCAGAATTTCAGTGTATTAGGAAACAGCCACACAGACCTTTCATCTGAGAAAATCACATTGTCCCAGTTAAAATGTCTATGCTGTAAGCACCAGTTCAACCTTCGCTCCTTTTGTTCAGGTTTCATGATCGGTGATGGAATTCCTCAACTTTTCTGCCAACCCATTGCATGAAGCTCAGTTCTAATTGTCTCCTTACAGACAGCCACAGTTTTCTAAACTCCTTCTTTTTTTTTGAAGAAACAAGAATACCAAGTCACCTCCTGTCACCGACAGTCAATTTTCTGGGCCTACCTGTGCCTCCCTGGTGCTCAATGCCATATCCATTTGCAATATTTTTCAAAACACGATAAACAGTTGACAAAGGGATGCCTGTTCTACTTGAAATCACTTTAGCTGATCTGAGGTCCTTGTTATAATACTCTAAAATCAACTTCCCCTTCTCTAAATCATCCATACTGAGGATCACTGAAAAGGTCGTCTGCGAGCAAGTAAACAAAGGAGGATAACTCTTCACAAACTAATGAAAAAGGATTAACGAAGTTGTCTCTCTTGAATGAAACCAAGCACTTGATAGCTGGTCAAGGTTGTTTATACTAAAAATCCAAGTAAACATTTTCATAAAATTCTCAATCATTTCTGGTCATACTATATATCCATTGCCTACAACATATATACACTTGCCCTCACTGTAGTGAGGTGGGGTCACATGTCTTTGCAACTCTATATATACAGCTACCTCTCATAGAGCACGATATATAGATGCACCTACCTCTGCAGGTGCCCTTCCCTTCAAGAACAAAGCCAGGGTTACAGCTGCAGAAGTAGCTTCCTTCAGTGTTATGGCAGTTGTGGTCACACATGTTGTCTTTTGAACTTGAGCACTCATTCATTTCTGAAAAAGAAGCACAAAAGCAGTCAAGGGTTAGTGCAAAATCTGATCCATCCTAGACCTAATAAATCTTTTAAACAACAGAAAGGAAGAACTGCCCAGGGGCAACTCTGCTCAGACTTGCTCATGTTTCACGTAAGACTGTTTGATAAGGGTATTATTGGATTCAGTTTCTTCAACTCATGTTTTCACGTAAAACTGTTTCATAACGGTATTGTTGGATTCAGTTTCTTCAACTCACCCTCACAAGTGGTGTTGTCAGCAGAGAGGGAGTAGCCAGACCGGCACTGACAGCGGTAAGATCCTGGCAGGTTCTGGCAGTCCGAGTTGGCCTGACAGGTGACGGTGGAACACTCGTTCTTGTCCTGGTCGCACTTGTCCCCAGTCCAGCCGCTGTAACACACACAGCCCAGTGTCTTGTCACACCTCTGGGAGCCCTTGGGGTCACAGCTGCACATGTTGCTGCAGTGACTCCCCCAGTGCTGGCTGTCACAATCTGAACAGACGAACAAGTTGTACAAGAATACCCCCTGAATGTCATTAGTAGTGTTCTTATGAACCTTGTTACTTCTTTGGCCATCATCACTGTTCACATAATAAGTTGATTTCTCAATCATATCAAGATACATCAAAATCATTCCAAAATAGGCCACCTGACAGGACCAATCTGTGATATATACTTGTTAGAATACTTCCCTGGACTTTGTATCTTGACATAAATTCAGAATGTTTTCTCTTAGAATATGGACATGCATCTATTCATCATACAAGCCCAAAGTTATTTTAACTAGACTCTAAAGTGGCTAAAACTGTAGTGGCTAAATTTACAGACTGTGATTCTACTTGCAGTCATCCGTTCTGCACACATTAGGATACCATTAACGTTTCTGTCTCAGAATCCTCAAGGGCTAGTGTTTGCTGATCATTCTGGACTGGTTTCAGACTAAGCCTCTTGAATACACAATGCCATTAAAAAAGTGGTCAAATTCGCATTACACATTCTCAGTAAAGTACAGATTCTAGTCATTTTGTTTGGTTGAGTCCACAAAAGTACTAGAATCTGTACTTTGCTGAGAAAGTGTAATCCCAATATAACCCATTACATTCAGCCTCTTTCCTGCTTCTCAGAACCGGGTACTCATGACCTGTCTCAGATTGGATTGACCCGTGAAGGTCCGGGTTAGAATGTACATTCAGTAACCCATGCTTGTCGTAAGAGGCGACTAAAGGGATGGGGTGGTCAGGCTCGCTGACTTGGTTGACACGTCATCGGTTCCCAATTGTGCAGATCGATGCTCATGCTGTTGATCACTGGATTTTCTGATCCAGACTCGGTTATTTACAGACATATAGCTGGAATATTGCTGAGTGTGGCGTCAAACTAAACTCACTCACTCACTGAGATTGGGTTTGGTTTAGTTTTTTTATAGCCACACCGTAAATAATCCCGTGAGGACCAGACAATCCAGTGATCAACACCATGAGCATCGATCTAGGCAATTGGGATACAACGATGTGTCAACCAAGTCAGTGAGCCTGACCACTTGATTTCGTTAGTCGCCTCTTACGACAAGCATGGGTTGCTGAAGACCAATTCTAACCCGGATCTTCACGGGTATTCTGTCCCAGAGTCCACTGGAATAGTCATATGACTATAACAGGCAGCTTGGGTTATCCGGGGTAATAATGTGCTGTGCCTTGATTGTTAGCGCTATGAGCATACCTAGTGTGGAGTTAAGCGCTATATAAATGGACACATTATTATTATTATTATTATGAGATTCGTCTGATGCAGTACCTGCACATGTCCGCTCATCGTTCTGCAGCGACATCCCGCGGGGACAGGAGCACCTGTAGGTGCCGGGGATGTTCTCACACTCATGGCTGCACTTGTTGCTCGTGTTGGAGGTGCACTCGTTAATGTCTGAAAGAGGTGAAATGTTACATGTAACATGGATACTTGTGTAGGAGGTGCACTCGTTGATGTCTGAAACAGGTGAAATGTTACATGTAACATTGCTGGTGTTGGAGGTGCACTCATTGATGTCTGAAACAGGTGAAATGTTACATGTAACATTGCTGGTGTTGGAGGTGAACTCATTGATGTCTGAAACAGGTGAAATGTTACATGTATTCTGGCTGCTGGTTTTGGAGGTGCACTCGTTGATGTCCGAAACAGGTGAAATATTACATGTTCCACATGACTGCTCACAGGCGCCTGATGTGGACA